TTGGAGGAGGTTACTGTGTGGCCTCTTTGTTGGGAGTAAAAACTTTATCCTTGATTAATAAACAGGACACCTAGTCATCATATACTTGGCAGTTTCATAAAGTAGCAGATTCTGAAGGAAGTGCCACTGTTTTAGTAAGCAATGAAAGAAGCTGTGCAAGGCAATCCTAGCATTCTGATGCAAAAATGAACCACTGGTATGTGTAAATTCAGAGGGGAACTTATTGTGGCAGACTGTTTTGGAGGCATTGCACTGAGATGGTGCTGGTAAACTACTGGCACAGGTGCCAGCTGTGGTGTTAAGGGAGATGTGGGCTAGCAAAATGGCAGGAAACTGCAATTCTTCTTCACTAAAAAGTCTTCAAATGGTATGTCTTGGATATCAGTACAATTCACTATTGTCCACCTCTGCAAGAGGGCACAATTCTGGCTCCAAGTGGGCTTTTACCCCAAAATGCTTTCTTCGCAGTGAGAGTACATAGGCCTGAAGCAAGTATGTATCGTTTCAAAATACATCTTTGACTGGGTGCAAGGAAGGGTGTCCTCCCCCCAGCCTCCCTTACTTCGCAGGGGTACAAGGCGTGGTAATCTTCACATTGCAAAACAGTGGTGGGAGCAGTTCGTTTCCTGGAGTGATTTTAATGAAGAGAAGAAATATTAAGCATAAAAATGGACTCTTAGTGGAAGAGAGATGAAGACAAAAGCTGAAATTCAGGGGCATTAGAACAGAGGGAATATAGCAGAGAGCAGAAGTAGAGGTAGAGACCAGAGTGGAGTTCAGGCTGGCTTTGAATAGGTCCCAAGGCAAGAATGTCAGGAAAATGTTATGATGGCAGAAGCAAGAAGGGGCTCACTGTGACTAGACGGAGGTGCTAGGCACCGGAACGGTTTTCCAAGTGACGGATATATATGCTGCAGGTGTTTAAGGGGAGGGTGTGGTGATGGTGGGAAGGATGCTGGCACAGGCAGCTCCCATGGAGAATGGAGAAGAGGAGACTGGGAGGAGGGATTGATGCCAGAAACAAGTTATTTGCACTAATGTCCATGGGGAAGATGGGAGGGAAATGGTCTTTTTCCTGAAGTTGTATAGGACTTGAGCAACCCAAGATCACACACTGTGGGTTGTAACTGCTCAGTAGTGCTTCATGTCAGGCCCTTCTTGTTGGGAAGCTGGATGCAGCTTTGATCTCCTAAGCTTTTATGCCAGGAGACAGAATTCCCTGTAGCAGTCGAATATTTTCGTAACTTCTAGGAACTTACCAGCCAGTTACACTGAAATGCCTTTTAAAGGTCACTAACACCCTGATCCTATGGAGAGGTTCTGGGAGTTGGGTATCTTTTTGAAAACATGCTGTCACAGGTCACAGTTTTTTGGAAGGGGATACTACAACATTTGGAAGTCCCAAATCAGACCTTTACTCTTAGTTTTCGTTCAGATTTCTGTCAAACTCTGTGTAGTTCTTTATCATTTTACCTCCAAAAATACTTAAGTGCTTTAAAAAAGATGAAGGAAAGCCAACAGCCCAGAATTTCTGCGACTTCATAGAAACGATTTCAGTGCTTGTATGTTGCTGTGTGCTAGCAATGCACAGCCTATACCTGTATTCACAAACCTGTGCTCGTAGGCAGCTGTATAGTAACAAAGCTGTGTGAACAGTCAGAGAATAGCAAGAATTTCTAGGCAGAAACAAAATGTGAGCCATGCAACTAAGGCATACAGAAGTTTGATAAAAGACAGGAAAATCAATACTGTTATTTGGAAATAGTAACACCCCCCCAACCTAAAAATATCATGCCGGAATCTTGAAGGGGTACATGTTTTCAAAATAGGGTTCTAGTGTGTACTACTTTATTTGCTTTGCCAATCAAATTTTGTAATTTCTTTGTTCAAATAATTCTATTCATACACTGGCTAGTATAGCAGACTCGGTACAGTATGTAGTTCACACAAATTTGCCAGTGTGAACATACTGCAAATGAGTTTCTCATCAGTATTGATCTTTCCATTGTGTATAGCACAGAAGTAAATTACATAATGTGATTGACAAAGTAATTTGCCACACTCAAAGTGTAATACAGGTGTGTTTCCCCTCTTCATTTTGCACAGAGCAATTTTATGGAGGTTTCACTGTGTTTAAACCTGCTATATAATGCTTAATCATCTTTGATTGCTGGTATTCAAAGTCATTTTTACGCTAGGTGTAGTTGTTATTGTCTTAGCAGCTAAGACAAGAATAAATACATGGTTGAAACAGTAATACTGATTTACAGCCTGATAAAATTGCCTAGTTTATATACTTGTCATGCTTATTCTAGCTTAATTTCTCATATCCCTGGGAGATTTTTTAAGAGGGTTATAGCCATTTAAAAATAGTTTTAAGGAGTAATAAAAAACATGTCTATTGTTGGAAACGGCTCCTAATGTGCAATTGAGGTAAACAAACATTCTCCAGCCTTACAGTTTGTAGAGACTCTCATTTTGCAGTCTGGCTTTCCTAGAGGCCAATTAACAGCTAGTCAAATAGGCCAAGCTGTTTAGCTCTCTGCTAGACCAGCTTGAATGACTGCAGAGCAGGCTGCCATGCAGAGATTCATCATCTCGGCATAGGGGTGTTACGGCTGTGTATTACTGAAGAGGAAGAATGTGTCAAACTTACTCCCAACTCATCTAAATTTAACTGCGTTAAAATATTTGAACACGGATAGGGACAAAAGCACTCAGGTTATATACGTAAGGTGGTCACTCGCAGATGATGGTGTTTGCTGCTGATTTTGTTTCCTGGAATGTAAGATAATGTTTTAACTGGATAGATCAATTATTTTGTAAATAATCATAAATTGTTTTTCAATATTGTGATTAGATTGATTAAACACAAGTGGAGTTTGTAATGATTTTAATGGACATTGTGGAAGAGACCAATACTTTCTTAAGGAAAACATGTGCCTTGCTTAGGGTTTTTTGTTTTGTTTTTGGAGAGGAATGTAGCTCTCAATCAATTTCACTCTGAACTGAAGAAATGGATCATATTCCAGAGAGGATTTTTCTTACTGTACAGGAATAATTAAAAAAGTTATTCAGTGGATTGTAAATTATTAATCACAGAAGTTAGAGCTGGAAATGCCTATTACATGATCTAGTGTATTTCCCTGCTGGTGGGGGATTTAGTCCTCTGGCAGTGTCTGTATCCGATATTACACTTTAAATTCATCACAGAAGATTTTTAATTTCTTTCTTTCTTTTATTCCTCCCCCCTTCCCCATAAGAGTTCATTTGACCAGAAGTGTACAATGGAAGAAGTATGGGCATGTACATAATGCAGTTCACAGCCATTATAATTAATAAATGTCCAAGGATATCATAAAGAACATACTCCTCTATACTTTTCCGTAAGGCAAACTTTAAAAGATGGTGTTTTTTTTAAAGCACTTTTAGACTTGCTTTGCTGGCAAAAGGCACTGTAGATCTTTGCACAGTATCACTTGCTACATATGGTAGCTCTTACTTCTGAAGGTTTCTAAAAGCATAGCCTTCTCAGGCAAATAGTGAATTACAGAGGCATGGAGGGATTTGCTGTGGGTTGGAACATTGATAGTGAGGCAATTAGGAACTCAAATTGAATATTAAAGATTGATATACATAATGGGAGCACTGCATGCATTACTGCCTTGTCTTTCACATTGAATTAACATTGGTAACAACTAAATTTGGTGAAGCTCAGAATCTGTCAACAAATGTTGAGCAATGATGTCTTTAATATTCCCAGGCATGTGGCTGAAAACCTTTTGAAGGCTGAGGGGTGGAAGGCGGCTTCCTGTTTGTAAGTCAATTCTTTGCAAATTTTGTTTCCTGCAGTGCTCTCTTGGAAAAATTTGAGTTCCTTTATTAGCATATATTTTAGCATGGCTAATTTCCCCTGTGTTCCGTAATAATGATAAGTGACTCGATCTTTTCTTTGTGACAAATAACTAAACCAAAGGAAAAATACTGTCTAATGCAAAAAGGCCGTGGGGTTAAATGTTCTCACATTTACGGGGATGTTCATTGGTTGGTTTTTGCCTTCCCCTCCTTTTTTTGGTATGTGTGCTTTGTAACAAACAACACAGGGAAACGATTGAAAACGTGCAGCGTCACTGGATGCATGACCCATAAGAACATAAAGTTCAGATTTGCCAGCTACATTTGTGTTGAATTTGAGAGATCTTAACTTTTGGGAATTGCCATGGAGTATTTAAATCCTACACTGTGATACATTTAGTGGGACAATACGGTATATTTTTCCCTTCATTACATTTTGGTTTACTGCTAAAAGTGTTTGCATTTCCTGTGCCCTGGGAACAGAGGCAAGTTCTTTGACTGTCCACCTTGGGTACAGTTTTCAAATATGGGCATTCTAGTAAGTCACTGATATGTTCAAGCGGATGCTTTTATCATCACACGGATGTTTCAACAGTGCCTGCTTTGCAGAGCTAAATCCGAGTTTTCAGGTGCTGGATTAGTGGTTCTGTTTAGGCTTTGGGGGTTTGGGTGATATGGGATGGGGTGATGTTCTGGTTTTGCTTTTTAGATTTGGGCTTTCTAAGATAATGCTCCTTTCTGGTGCAGTCCAGCTTTTCATTAAAGGTGGGTGGACACCTCTTGGCTAGGTGAGCAGTTAATATGCATAGAATGTCTTAAAGCAGTTCCTATAATCCCAGTGCAGTGCATGCATACAAGCCTGCAAAACGCAAATTTCTGTGCCACCAGGAGAAAGAAGTGTACAGTGTAAGTACAAGTGCATGCAAGATGCATGGCATCCATTTATAACAAATCACAATAAATATACATGTGTTCCTGCATTTTAGGAGCTTCCTGGATTCTTCTTTGGTACAGTGACATCCCATAGATAGAAAACTATGTTGGAAAGGAAAGAAACCCACTTTGTTTTCTTTTGAATCTGAAATAATCTCACAAATACATAGTGTGGGAGAATAAGCTTTTTGTGTGAGAACAACAGGTCTGAGATGTAAGAAAAAGTGCACAGGCTGACAGGATCTTTTGTCAAAATCCTGCTTTTCTATTCTGTTTGTGGCGAATGCTAGCTTACTACCAAAACGCTAAATGTAAACCACATAAGGGATTTTTACTTTTAATATGTAGTTATCAATAATCCAGAATTCGTGTGTTCATTTGTTTAATCAAATTGTTGTGAAGACCATAATTGAAAAAGATAGATTTCCTGCCTGACTCGTTTTAAGTAATGTTGCCATTTTGATAAAAATCATGTGGTAGTGTTTAGGAAATAAAAAAAAAAGTGCCTTTATTTTAACTTGAGTTTTAGTGACTAACATCTGTATGTGACCACCCTATGTTTATGTAGTAGGTAAATAATATTGTAGGGGCCATCCATCAGTTTCATGATTTCACAAGAACACAAACCCTTTCCTCTCCCACCACCCCAAGAGGATACAAATTAGTGAACCAAGAAATGATGCTATCATGGCAGGCAGGCAGGCAGTCTCCTCATTTTGTATGCTGAAGACGTACATCTCACTCGGCTCCCACCCTCTCTCCCCTCCCCCTCCTGCATACTGTTTGTGCTCTTGATAACATGATGAGAATGATGACTGGCCCTTGTGATGCAAACTTCTCTTCCTTCCCCATGGACTGACAGTCTTGATCTTGCTTTCAGGTGCATGCCAAATTCCGTTATCCTTTCTACTATGAAATGTGCTGGTATGTTCTGGAGAGATACGTGTCCTGTGTGACCCAGCGCTGCCACCTCAGCAAAGAGTACCAGAAAGAATCAATGTTAATTGGTGAGTGAATCCTTTGAGTGCATATTCAGAACCACTGCTAGCACCTTAGGCTAGTTACTGCTTTGGTTGCTGCAAAGCAGATTATGAATTGAATTGGAGAACTGTAGAAATTCTAATTAACTATTTCTTTATTTTTGGGGTGGGGAAGGTTTTGACTCTTAAGCATTCCCATGAACTACCAACCTACTTCGAGTTATATTTATTGTGCATTCCCTTAGTGAGTGTATCCCAGAAAAATAATTTTTGGATGCATTTGTTCCTCGGTTTCAGTAATGTTTGTGTTGAGATGGTCTGCCAAACAGTTGAGGATTTACTGCCATGTTTGGCACGGTACCTTAGTAGCCAGAAACGTGTGCATTGCAAATGTACTCTGGTGGGATTGATATTTAGTCCTTTTATAGAGCGTCTCCTCTGCAGAATGCATTATGGTACTAAACCTGGCTTCTTTCTCTTCTTTAGTCTCTATTTTAGTTCTCTCTGTTTGGTGACTGACTTCTAGTTCTGCAGAATAACAAAACCAAGAAAACACCTACGCAAATCTACATGATCTATAACCTAAGTGCAGGGAGGTCAAAGAAACCTTTACAACAATAGCTGAAAATGGACCATAGCAGAGACAGATAGATGTGCCTGAAGCAGGAAGGCATTACTTTGGCACTGATGTGAGCTTTACATCAATGTGTGACAATTCCAGTTGTTGCCTTGCTGAACTGCCCTCTTTTTCCTCCCTTTAATGGAACAAGACAGTGGGCCGTGTGGCCTCCCTGCTTTTAAGCACAGAATGGCTGAAAGTAGCACAAGCACCAGCTCAATCTTGACTGATACTTGTTAAGTGTGGAGGAGGACTAAAGTATTTCTGTGCCTCCTGCTCCCTGAGATGCCACTTGGAGTGAACCTGGCGTGATTGGAACTGCCCCAAGTTCTGGACAGAGGAGGGAAATGATCACCTACTAGCATAATTCTTAGTAGAGGAGTTGAAGTTATGGGCAGACGTCACTCTCCAGTGAGTTTTACTGACCGAGAATAACTTGAGGGAGCCAATAGTCTGTGTAGGTAGGCCAGGGGAATTTCTTGGGGTCACTGGGAATTTGGGTGCTTCACGTTTTGTGTCTCTCCTTAGATCTGTGAGATCCTGGTCAGAAGGGTTAGTTAAGCAGGAACTCTGTGTGGAAGAATTTTTCTTGTTATATCAGGTCATCCTAGGGGAAAGGATGAACTAGCCCCTTGGATCAGCTCTTCATAAAGCAGTGACAAAACTCTGATAATGGCATTCATTGGAAAATAAGGAACAACGTCCTGTTGTCTGAACTGCTGGCATGGAAGGAGGCTTGTCCTGCAGGCACGGTGGGGGTGCCAGATCACTGAGGTGTGATTTCAGAACAAATTAGATGTGGAGAGTGGTTAGTTCAGGATATTGAGATGGGACCTTTTCCAGCTAAATCACCAGTGCGAATTCCAGCCCAATGTCATAATTACTGATAATGGTTTGGTGATCCCCACGAAATGTGCCTCACTGCAGTTACTAGCTGAGCGATACTCAAGTCATATAAAAGCTCACTGGGAACCATAGATGTCCAGTGTCTAGAGGGAAAAGAATTGTTTTGCACGACCAAAGAGTGCCAGCTGCAGAGGCCTGGCTATTTGGAAAATGGTTTGGTGGCGACGTGGTTGAGGTCGTGGCTTCGGTTGTTGACCTAGTGGGAAGTGAATATGAAACTGTTTTCCTGTTGTTTGGGCATGGTCTTACGGTCATTTCAAGCTACTGTGGGAAATGTGCTGCTCTCACAAGACTTCTGTTTCGTGAACTGAAGACTGTGCAGCTGCCTTGTGAACTGAATCAGTTCAGTGGTCTGGCTGAAAATTAACCCTACCAAAAAATTAATATATTTGTTATCAGTAGGACTGATGAGCTGGTCTGACTTGCAGCCCTACTGCTTGGCTGTGGGTGCCGAATTGAAGTAGATGCTGGGAGTGTCTGGCTGGGCAGATCTTGAGCTGTTGTCACTGTCTTGAATGGAGTGGTGTCTACTGACAGCATGTAGTTCATCCACCTGTCTGCTATCTCTTGACTTCAGAGTATTAGCGTGCCGATAAAATCTCTGACATTGACATCTAGGGCCTTTCTCTCTGGGAGAGACAGATGAATGCTTTTTTTTTTTTTTGTCAGAAACTTCCTTTTTATTTCTTGGCAGCACATCAACCTTAAAATAATTATTTGACTGGGGATTGTGGTTCAAAAGCCCAGATCTACTATAACTACTGGATATACAGGAGCTTTCACTTTCGTGTTTGCCAAATTCAAAGGAGTAAAGGTACATTATTTACCTTTACAAAGCTGTGCTGCTTTGTTCTGCGTAAGTAATACTGTTTCAAACACTTGCTTGTCTTTTCTTTTAACTGGTCTTGGTGTCCAGCCTCTTGACTCAAATCTCTATGAACGGTAATCCTTGAATTACACTTGTTGGTTCTGTGGTGTCTATATCTTAATATCATTCACCTGCTGTGGGCTAGGTTATCCAAATGAGGTCAGTGTTCCAAAACACTGCCACTTTGTTTTTATGCTTTTTGTCTGAACTGCTGTGGTCCTTAAATTGTTTCTTCCTTAGAGACTTCTCTATCTGCAAGCAATGTCTTGATTTCCCATGAGAGAGTATCCCTTGACAAAGAATTTCCCATTATTACCCTTAAAGAGTAATGAAACAAAGTACTTAACTTCTCTGCAGACCCCTCAATAGATGTAATTGTCTTCTGTCCTTCTTGGTTTAAGAAAAAATTCTTCACATCCTTATATTCATTTTCAGAAATTTCTCTTGAATAATCTTAATGTTTCTCCTATTTTTTAAAAAATAATTTCCTTGACATAATTTGTTCTAAATGTCTAATTTCTACATTTCATTTTGGGTGCTAGACCTTGCTATTTTTCACCCTTGAGTTGTGCTGCTTTCTTTTCTTATATACCTTCTGATGCAGTGGTCAGAAGCTAAGAAGCAACAGGTGATTATTAGTTGAGGAGGACATCCACAGAGAGAGCGCAGAATGCTGCCCATGGTCTCTGGGATTGACAAGGCAGTAGTTTTCATAGAATTGGTAGAGATTCTGTTCTGTGTGGAAAAAAAGGAGGTTACTGTGGTGATAAAGAACATCTTTGGAGAACACAGAAAACTGAGTTCATCAGCAATTGTGTTTTAAGGGTATCTTTAGACTTTTCATACTATGTTTTCATTATGTCGTATTTATTTGCTTTGAAATGAAGATTGCTAAATTTAGAATGACTCTATCAAGACATTGCATACTCATGAAAATGTATTCCTGTGGTTGTGTTGCGATACCTCTGTCCTGATCTTTGTTTGCTAGTGTAGCAATTTACATTGTTCTTTGTATTTCTGTTTTCTAAGTGTCTTGACTCGTAAAACTTCAGACAGGAAAAAACCCCCACCTCAGTGTAGACAAGGCTAAAACCTTCAGTCTTCTCACTCCCTGAATAAAAATGTCTGTGCTTCTTAATGAGTTGAAAGTTGATGACTGTGGCTTTCTTTCCCATTCTTCAGGCCCAGAAGAAGTTTTCAGACACTTGCTCCTAGTTAGTGTGCGAGACTGTCCTTTTTCAGATCTCTTCCGCAGAAGGGCAAACACTCAGGGGAATGATGACATGACAGCAATCCCAGCCTGCTGTAAAAGCACACAATCTCTCTTTCTCTCCCTTTTTTCTTTTCCTTGTCCCTCTCAACTGTGACATTTGTCTTGCTGGCTGAAAGCAGAAAGGGATCCTATTTGGGTTTCCTACTAGATTTGGACATGCACTGTTTCGGGGTGGATATGTCTTCATTATTTTTACTCTTATGAATGAGTGTCTACTGGATGTTTTCAACCACAATTGACCTTCAGTGAGATACAGATCTTGAGTGAGCTGACAAAGAGTAATGGGGAGAAGATATTGGGCTATCCAAAATGCACTTTCTCTGTAGCCTGCAGCTTTTAAGATTCCCATTGCTAAAATGTTAACAGGACGGCACTAACTGTATATTAAGCCTGATGAATGAAGAAAATATGCCCTCTGGCATGGTGAAGGAGCCATGTCTTTCTTTTTTTCCCCTCCCTCTTCTCAGGGGATAGAAGAGATTTGCTTGTGACAGACAGGTACTGGACTATATTGAGTGATTTCTCTGTGGGGTGCTCCATGCAGTGGTACATCTCCAGTATGCTCAGTTTTTTTTTTTTTCCTGCTAATGACGATGTCATTGCTGTCTTTAGCAGACCAATACAAACTGCTGCTCCCAAGTCACAATGTCAGGGTTTGGAGCTGGGAATGGCAAGGTAGATGTTACACACTGGTCTGTTCTAAAGAGTTTTGAAAGATTTTGTAATTATATGTCACCCCCCTCCCTTTCTTTTAAGTTCTGTAAGCAAGTTGCTTTTCAGCAAAGAAAGAAACTGTGTATAATTATCCTTCTTGTACAAGTGGATAACTGTGGGGAATGTGAAGTGATTTGCCCAGAACCACAGGGAAGTGAACTGTTATAGAAAAAAAGGTATTTCTATGTCTCTGTCCTGTGGTCAAGCCTGTGCTGCTGCTCCTCTTCAGTGTATTACATCACTGACTGGCTTGTATAAGCTGGTTTTATTTGCTTTGAGATGGAGAGGGGTGAAAGTCTTTTTACACTAGGTCGTATAGGAGCCCAGACTGGATAACCACTCTGAAACTGGAGTTCTAATGTGGTATTGGTTGGTGCATTGACTCAGAAGAAGAAACCCCAGTTGCACTTAGCAGGAGCTCTTTTCCGTGGAGAGACTTTATAAACCAAAACCCTCCAAATCAGTGGAACTCTGGTAATACAGTGCTTAAAACACACTTCTTGACAGAGTAAATGCAGATTATGCTTATGTAGGGTCTCAGCTCACAGCATAGTAACTCTCAGTCAGATACTGTTTTCATTAAGATGAGTAAATAAAAATCATGGAATGTTGCATTACAACAAAACACTTGAAAACACAGAATTCAACCTTCCTCACCTTGAAGTTATCCTGCTGTTACTGGTTCCCTTGGCTTTTTGTTTGTTTGTTTGTTTTTAAATTAGCAGCAGTAGCAGAGAGTTGTTGTCTTTTGAAAGCAGTCCACTCTTAATCTGATGGTGCAACAGTACTGTAATCCCCTAGTGCTCCAGAATAGACTGATAGACTGCAGGTTAATAACAAGCCCTGTTCCCAAAGGTAAAGTTAGGCAAAGCATCATGTAGCTGACAGGCTTGCAGAAGGCAGGCCACAGGGCACTTGTTTGGTGATGGTTCCTTTTGAGGTTAGATTTAGATTATTTTTGTCTGTCGATACCCAGGTGTAGCTGGCACAGCAGGGCCTGTCTTGTGCAGACAGCTGGTGGCAGGGAAGCAGTGGCAGCTGGCAGAACGGGATTGCTGGCCCCCCCTCATGTGCTTGTTTCTGATGGGAATAGGCCCCCAGTATGCTGTGGTGTTCCACTCCTCGCATGCCTTTTGTTTCCATAGATTACAGCAAGAGACAAAAAGTGGAGATCTCTCTTGAAGGCTGTTTTCTCTTAGCACCAGAGCATTACTTGGAGTAAATTATTCACACCTCCATAACGTGATTTCCCTCTCTTTCGGCCATATCTACGCTTGTGATTTGCCCCAGTTACAGCCATTAGTTCCTGTTCAGCAGAGCCACAGCGTAGAAAGACAGAAACATAATTTTCTTTGTGTGGATTTATACCAATTTCTGTTAATGACGCTGTACTAGTAGCATAGGGATGCGTATCTACTTTCACCTTCTTTTGTTTTATCACTGGCATCTTCTCCCATCTAGAATGGGCTTTTGTGCTTCAGTCAATTCTAAAATAGTTCATCAGGGCAGTGTGGCTTAGAAAAGAGCTCCAGCCGTGGATCCAAGAGCCTGGATTCTGATTCCTGGTTTTGCCCTAGATTTCTTGTGTGACAATGAGCAAATCTTGCTTTCTCCCAAGCATCTGTTTCCTCAGTTGTAAAATGGGAGAATGACATAAGCTGATTATATAGCCCTTTGAGGTGGGTAAGTGTGCTAGCTTCTGTGGACAAAGAAAAAAAAACAATGTTAAATAAAAGTTGGATAACCTAGTGATTTTTAAATGTTCTGGTTAAGATATTTTCTAATCCTGTTTATTTTTCTAAGAGAAGCACGGGGGTGTATTAGCACAGACCAGAGACGAGGAGCTGCTTTGGAGCATTGCATGCCACCACCTCAGCACACAAACTGTGCTATACTTCTTCATGGTGAAGCTTTTTTGGAGGGGTGCAAGGAGGAGATTAGTCTGTAGTGTGGATGGAGCTGGATTTGGCCATGGCCAGCATTGCTGGTAGCTGGTGTTTTTTGTGACTGCCATCTTTTCACAGGCATTTCAGCTTAAATGTATCTTTCAGGAGTAATTTTGTGCCCATTTTGGTTCTGAGGAAAAATGCAAACATGACTGGAGGAGTAGACTGGACAGAGATGCTTGATTTTTGCAGACACTGTAGCAACAGCACGCTTGCCCTGAGAAATATGAAGTGGGCAACTCGTATCTCTCAGGCACTACCACACCGAGGTGCACCTGGCCTTACAGAGTTTTTATTTGAACCTGCAAAGCTAAGCCGCCTGGCAAGCTGCCTTCAGACAGTTACTCTGTCACTGCATTTTGCATCTTTGTTACCCAGCTGACAAGTAACATGTATGTTTTGTGAGAAGATGGTATAGACTATGCAAGAGGCAGCAAGCTTCTCTGATAAGGATGAATTTGCTAGCTTGGAACTGGGCTTCAGCGTTTGTTTTGAACCTCACTGTTAAACAACCGGATGCTGAGCTTTTTCGTTAATGTCCATTTAATCCTTCCTTAAGCATGATTCACGTTGTCCTGGTCCAAAGCTACTGCATTGCAAAGCATGAAAGCTGTGAAAGGAACTTTTCATTAATTGTTCAGTCACTTTTTCTGTATGACTTCTGTTTCCTTCGCAGACTGTTTTTGTTTGCAGCTTGATCTCATACCCATTTCAGCCAGTATTAAAATGCACATTGACCTAACTGGGTGTTGCCAGTGTTAACTGTATTTTCTACAGAAAAAAATTCCTGCTGTTGCTAGCCTGCATTCAATGTTGTTCACTTAGTAAAGGAAATTGTGTCTAATAAATAAGAAAAGATGTGTGCTTTAGGGAACCTTGGCCACTAGTTTCCTACATTGCTTTCACTGCTTGGTTGCATGGAGCAGTGTAACATTTGGGGTTTTTAGGGGGAAACCTGGTATAAAATGAAGATTAATAGTTCTTTAGACTCAGAAACTTGCCTTTATATTTTCCTGAAAAGTACCTAGAATATATAAGGGACGGTATTAAGAAAAACATTATCCTGTAACTCTGACAGTCCCTGCATTTCTCAGTGTGTTTAGGCTTCTTGTCTGTAAAATAAGCGTAATTGTAATCCTCTGTCTCAGAAGAGCAATGAGTATTCAGTTAGTAACAAGTGGTGGTTCTTGTTTTACCAACAGTTGCTTGCAAAGAGAAAAAGTATCGAGAAGTTGATTTTGTGCTGTGCAAAGTTCCTGGAAGGCTGATGATGTAGAGCATTTTAAAATGCTTTCTCCCATCGTTTTTCCCCTCTTTCTGTGCTAACTGCCCTCTTAAAGCTGTAAGGCTGCTGAATCTGGTCTCTTACGGCTTTGTGGGAAAATTAATTGTGTGTGACTTAAGAGCTCTGCCTACTCTTAATTGAAGGCATGGAGGACTGAACCTTTGAAGAAAGCATAATTTTTCCCTAAATGTTTCCCAGTCATTTGAACTGAGTAGATGTTAATGAAAACCAGCATTAAAACAAACAAACAAACAGCCCCCCCTGCAATTAAAAAATTGACTGAATAAAGCCCATTCCTGTCACATACTTACTAGGCATTATCCAGTGCCCTTTTAAATAGGCAGTGCCTAGCCCCAGTGGTAGAGAAGTGTTTAAGCTATGAATTATATTAGGTAAAAATTCAGCATTCTTCTTCTAACTTTCAGATGCAAAAAGAAAACACAGCACAGACAGCTATTCATCAGATTCGTGGTTAGACATGGATGAAGAATCTTGTGATGCCCATATCCAGGAGGAGAAGGATGACAGCTTGGATAAGAACTCCAAATCCTTGGTGGATGGCTCCTCCTCACCCAACAGCACACACTCAGAAGGGAAGGAGGGTGCAGGAAGAAAACAAAAAGCCACAGTAATGAGGTACCTAAAAAGAACTTTGTCTAATGAGTCGGATGACAGCGTAAAATCAACGACCCCTACAGACTATCCCAAAACACCAACGGGGTCTCCAGCTACAGAAGTTTCAACCAAGTGGACTCACCTCACAGAATTTGAACTGAAGGGTTTAAAAGCCCTGGTGGAAAAGCTTGAATCTCTCCCAGAGAACAAGAAGTGTGTTCCAGAAGGCATCGAAGACCCGCAGGCTCTCCTAGAGGACATGAAGGTGGGTGTGATAGCTTGCTGATCCACACAAACTGTATTCTGTGCACACAGAAGACATCAGGAGATCAGAAAGCAAAATTCTGCAGCAGAGGGCTGGCTGCTTGTGTGTAGTGACCAGCTCGTATCAACCTGCTATGGCACAGAGGGAAATTATGCCTCTAACAAAAGCCATCTCCGCTCTGGGGAGGTGGCTGTTTGCAGTCTGATTTAATTGATGCAGTCCTTTCTGATGGTTGCAGCAGTGGCCAAAAGTTTAGATCCTGTTATAGTTCAGCACTTGTTGTGTCCCATGTGTAAATATTATACCTCAAAAAGCCTGTTTATATTTATAGTCTTAATCTGCCCTTTTTGGTCTAGTGTCTTTCTGGAGTATATCTGATTAACTGACAGACAAAATGTAAATACTTGATTGTAATTCGGCAGATATATTGTCTAACAATTTCAGTGGCTTTTTTTTCTTGCACCTTTTTCATTTTCTTTTCCTCCATTGCCCTCTATAGGTTGATAATTATTCTCCACTGGTACAATATGCTGGTTTTGGAGATGGTGTGAGGAGTGAATGCTCACTAGTGACAGAACTTCTCCTCAGATTTTTTTAGCATACTGGAAGTGGTACTTCATCTGATTTAGGGATAAACTCCTGC